GCCCCCCATCGTGCCCTGCCCGTGCTGGCAGCCTTCCCCACCGGCTGCTCGCCATCCTGTGCAGCAGGCGGCGGGGTGTGGGCCCCCGCCACCAGCACCCCCCTGCCCTGCAGCGACAGCAGGAGGGCTCGAGCCCCAATGCCGTTTGCGCGCCATGGGGCAGGGAGCACCCAGCTCAGCAGGACCCCGGGCACCCGCGTCCCCTCTTCGTGGGGACAGCCGTGCTCGGCCCCGGGAGCCGCGCAGGTCACATTTCTCCGTGCCTCCGGTGCCGTTTGCGTGTGCCGGCGCGGAGGGGGCCCGCGCTGCCTCATCCCTTTACCCAAACCTTTAAGCTACCATCAGAAATAGCCCCCTGTAATCTGCTTGCGCAGAGACGCGGGGGACCTGCCCCGAGGAGCAAATCCCCGGGCAGGGGATTAGGAAGAAGCAGGTCCAGGTCCTGCCTGTCCATGCCGAGACGCCCGCTTGTGTCCTTGGGGTCCGTGGGGGTGGGTGCCCCAGTGAGCTGGCGGGGTCCCTGCCCGCACAGTCTGCCAGCCCCGGGGACAAACACCGGTGCAAGGAGGAGGGAGAGGCTGGGACTGAGGGTGCCTGGCTCCGGCCCCAGCTCCAGGAGGGTCCCAGTGGCTATGGCAGGATGTGGCTTGGGGTTGGGGTCCCAGCGGGTGGGAGTCCAGCAGGTAAAGAAAGGCATTGTGAGATGATGAGGGGCAGCTGCAGCCCCAGCCTCATTGATTCATCAATTAGTTCGGTACTAACGAGGAACGGCATTGGGGCAGGCCGTGCATATGTTGGCATTACCAGCATCACGCTCGGCGCGCCGTGGTGCCGTGGTCTGGGGTCCCCGGCGCAGCCCTGCTGCCCTCCCGCCCGCGAGGCTTGTGCTACGTGCCAGCCAGCTCCTCCGGGGTTCAGCACAGCATGATTTATTCAGCTCTCCCGCTCCTGCGCTGCCTCTGCATAAGTGTGGTTGTGGGGGAGCTGGGGGTGCCAGGGAGCGCGGGGCCGCCTGGACGGGGCAGGGGGCAGCCAGGCTCGTGCCAGCCCACGCTCAGAGTAGGGGGGTGCTGAGTGGGGCAGGTTGGAGGGGGAGGGAAAAGACCTTTCCCGGCTCAGGGACCCAGCAGGTCCCAGCACCACGCTGGGCACCCAAGCATGCAGGATTTGCGGTGATGATGGGGGGACCCAGGCAAGGGGCAGGGAGCTTTGCAAAGGCTGTACTGTGGCGGAACCTGACCATCATGGGACCCCAGCCCTGCGCAGTCTGGGTTTGGGATGAAGGACCCAAACCTGCTCCTTGTCCCTCCTACGGGGCAGAAGCCGCCCCTGCATGACCCATCGGGTCAGCCCCTGCTGCTCAGGGACCAGCCACCCCTCAGTGTCCCCTCTCAGCAGTCAGCATTCACGGGGACCCATGTGCCCAGACCCCCAGCTACGTCCACGGGCTGGGGGCCGGGAGGTGGGACACAGAGCCCAGCTGCACCAGCACCCCCAGGGCCGAGCAGGATTGTCCTGATGGATCCCCAAGGTGCCCCAACGGGGACCCTGCTCCTGGGGTGCCTGATGGGGGGCGGGCCTGCAGGGTGCCCTGATGGGGACCATGTCCCCGGGGGAGCGTGCAGCCGC